CAGCATTCCAGCACACAAAAATAATTTTAAATAATGATTTTGTAATCTTTTATAATAGCTATCTTTTCAAGCCAGGTGCTGCCAGAAAAACGGAAACATGCGACTTACAGAACTTCACTTACGTCCCTAATAAATCAGTGAACAGAGGGAGTTGAAAAGAGAATCCCTGTGACATTCCACAAGACATCTGAGGGGTGACAAGTTAAACCCATTCATTTAAGTATAGCTCTTTCACACACTAAAACTAAGAAAGGCATATAGAGGCATATATGCCATATAGAGGCATACAGTCAGTGGAATACTAAAGGTGGAATACTAAAGGCTTTATTGAAAATAAGGTAACCTAAGTTCAAATTCACTTTTCTTAAGAGTAAATACATTTGTCATAACTATTGGTTACTAAACTGCTATTCCAACTGACTACTGTATTCTTGTTTAAATGTCTGTAAATCATCTACCTAAAGATCTGAGTGTAATGTCTTTTAAAAAACCCCAGAATAGTTGTACTTACTATAGTCTCATAGGATCATTCTGTTTTTCCATAATTTCCCAAGGACAACATCTCTGACAGCACAGCTGCTACAGAGCTCCAGGAGAGACCCACTCTGGATTCCGACCTTCAGAACACTAAGGCAATAAATCTGGGTTGCTCTAAGTTTGTGGTAATTTTATGCAATAAAAGAAAACTGGCAGAGTCCCTGATTCCATACATCTTGGCTCAAAACCAATCTCCTTTCTCTCTGATAAGGTCTTAACGTTTATCACCCAGATTCCTGGTCTGCTCTTTAAGGCAGCCTCACGTCACCCTCTAATTTGTTTATCCCTCAAGACACACATTCGGATCTTGTTCCTTCACCTACTCATGGGCCTGTATTTTTGCTTCCATAGTCCCAGCTCCCATTTCTATGTGGCTCTCCCTAGGCCTGGTCTGCTGGAAGCTTAGTGACTAACTGTCCACCTGAACTTATTGTGGGGTTATCAGGTGTTTTACTGCCACTGAACCCATAAGCATTGCCCTAATGTTTACAAATCACTCAATATCAAGTCAAAATAAAACGGGGTAAGTCTAGCAAAAGTAGGTTTTGTACTAAAGGAAGGAAAATACTACAAATACAAACTGTCCACCTTTTGTCCTCTCCCTCCTGCTCCCCCTTTCCTTCACCCTCCTCCTCCCTCTCCTCCTCCTGCTCCCCCTTTCCTTCACCCTCCTCCTCCCTCTCCTCCTCCTCCTCCTGGAGTGCTTTCATCACTGAGCTCCATCTCCTGCTCTCTTTTATTTTGTTTTGAGACAGGGTCTCCCTAAGTTCCCCAGGCTGGACCCAAACTTGCACCCTCCTGCCTCAACCTCCCAAGTAGCCAGAAAAACAGGCATGTGTCACCATATCTAGCTTATCTATCTGCTTTAACCAAATTTAAACTTCCACACTTAAACTAGTACTCAAGTATTAGCTCCATTACTAAATAAAAGTTTTAGATCACAAAAAGTGTCATAAATCTGGATTATATTTTAATTCAGCCCTGATATCAAAAGAGGGAACAAGGTGGGAATGCAAATTTTAAATCTAAAATTGGACAGTAATTCATCCACACAAGCCTACCAATATTAAAGACAACATAGGTTCGCCAAAAAAAAAAAAAAAAAAAAAAGGATATTAGGTTAATTTGGCATGATTTTTTTTTCTTGGTTCGGGGGATAGAACTCAGGTCCTTGCGCTTGTGGGGCAGGCAGCGGAACCACTGAGCTACATCCCTGGCACCCCTAACATCCTTTTTTTGAGAGGATAACAAGTTGATTATTCAATAAGGGACATTATAGGGACAGAGGATAAACTAAGTTTAACAAAGTTTTCCTTCAAGACACATGAACAGATAAAAGTATTCATATAATCAATAGTTTAAACTTGAAACTATGCACTGTTGGTGGGAATGTAGAATGGTGAAGCCATTATAGAAAACAGTATAGCTTTCTCAAAAAAAATTAAATCTCATATGATGTATCAACCTCATTTTAATACACATCTACACATACCCAAAATAATTCAAAACAAGATCGTAAAGAGATATTTGCACATCTATGTTCACTGTAGCATTACTCACAATAGTCAAGCAGTAGAAACAACACAAAAGTACACCAGAGGATAAACAGATGAACAAAATGTAGTGTCTACACACAATGGAACACTAAGCAGCCTTAATAAGAAAGGAAATCCGTCACATGCTGCAACATGAATGAACCTTGAAGATATCACTATGCTAAGTGAAAGAAGGAAGTCACAAATGGTCATACACAATTCCACTCACATGAATTATCTCAAAGAGTGAAAATCACAGATAGTAAAGAGACAGCTGCCATGCCAAGGGCTAGGGGGAAAAGGAATTAGTGTTAATGGACATAGAGTTCCAGTTTCACAAAATAAAAAAGTTCTAGAGATCTGCTTCTGCACTACACACTTCAGTAAAGAACACATTTAGTCTTATGTGCCTTTTACTGAAACATAAGAAAAAATGAAAGTCATGCCAATTCAAAGGTATTAATCATGTATAAAACCTGGGAAGCATATCCTTTAAGAAAAAGCTAAAGACTAAAAGGGGGAGCACATTAAACCCAAGAAAAGGAAGGCTAAGTGAAAACTAAAAGAATTAACAAGACAAGACTACTTCCCCTTATCCCATACCTAACTAGATCTAATTTATCTTTTTTTTTTTTAACAACTGTTTATGGAATGCCAGTAATGTACCAGGCATTGTTCCAGGTGTTTGGGACTTATCTTGAACAAAGACAAGACCCCTGCCCTCATGAAATTTTACATTCTAATGGGCAGAGACAAACAACAAACATAATAAGTACGTGTGGTAGGCTTCCTCTAACTGGCTCCCAATGATCACTGAACCAACACTCTTACATAATTCTTCCCTTGCATTGTGGGCTGGACCTAACCAATAGAATATAGTAAAAGGGATGGGATGTCACTCCCAAGATCAGGTTTTAAAAGGCTGATTTCTGTTTTGCTCACATACTCTTGCTCTTTCCTGCTTGCTTACTCTGATGAAGATGACTGACACCTTATGGCTGGCCTGGGGACAGCCCCTGTAGAGGCAAGGCACTGAGGGCCGCTTCTAGACACCAGTGGGCACTAACTGAGGCCCTCAGTCCAACCACTCAAAGGAACAGGATCGTGCCAAAAGGCACATGAATGAATCCATCTCCAGGGGAGACTTGAGCTGACTAAAACCCTGGCCAACACTGGGGTGCAGCCCAGGAGGGAACTTTATAAGTAGAGTTCAACTAGAATCCTGACAAACAAAAGCTAACATAGTAAGCATTATTTTAAACCACTAAGTTACTGAGTGATTACTTAGCACAGCAACATGTTAACCAATATGTTAAAAAGAGATACCTAAAAAAAGAGGAGAGTAAAAGAGTAGATAATTGTAGAAGTGAGTTACAATTTTAAGAATAGGTATTACAAAGACTTGCACTTGAATGTTTGTAAAAGCATTACTCATACAAGTCAAAAACAAACTCAAGGGGCCGGGGATTTAGCTCAGTTGTTCTGCCTCCTGGCTTGCAAGCAGGAGGACCCGAGTTCGATCCCCGGTACCAAAAAACAAAAAAACCTCAAATGACCATCAGTTGATGAATAGATATACAAAAATGTGGTATATGTATCCAAGAGAATATTATCCAGCCCCCCCCGCAAAAAAATGTGCTGACATGTGGTAAAACATGGATGGATCTCAAATATATAGTGGTACCTCTCAGTTCACAAACTTGATTCTTTCCATGATTCAGATCCAAAACCAAGTTGGACAAAAACTGAATCAAATTCAATGGTTAGGTTCAATGTTGACCTTATGGGGAGATTTGATTCGGTTCTTGTCCAATTTGGTTTGCGACCAGAATAGTGGAGAGAATTGAGTTTGTGAACCGAGGTACCACTATATTATGCTAGGCAAAGGAATTCAATCACAAAACACCAAATTCAGAATCATTCCATTACATGAAACATTCAGAAGGAAAATCTGTAGAGACAGAAAATAGCTTAGTGGTTACCTGATGCTTTAAACTGGATTAACTATAAATGGGCACAAAGAATCTCACTGAGGTAACAGAACCATATTAGTCTAGAGCTTGGCAGTGAGTGCTCAAAATGACACATTTACTAAAATCACTGAGTTGAACAATTAAAACAGGTGAATGTATGGTATGTAAATTATACCTCAAAGTTTTTAAAAATGGACAACACTTTTAATAGGACAACACTGAAAACATACTAGTAGAAATCAGAAGAAAGAAGGAGACCAGTCATGTGACTATCTAGGGAAAACATACCAGGTAGCAGAGACCATATAAAGAGACCCTAGAGGACAAAAATGCCTGATGCATTTGCAGCACAGCAGGGCCTCACAGGAGATGATATGAGGAAGGTAGGAGATGAAGTGAACAAAATAACTGATGGATGGAGGATTGTGGGGACAGTAACCATGCAGACCTTTTTACATCACTGAGAGGAATTTGGCTTACATGAGAAAAAAGAAGGCAGGAGAGCAATAGGACAACTTGCATTTTTTAAAGACCATACAATGTAAAGAAATTATAAAAAGAAAGTATAAAAGGCTCCATATAACCAGCTGCCCCAAAAGCTACTGATCTCTCTTAACTGACTGGGGTACTGGAAAAATGAATTCCTAAAAAGAAGGAGACTCTCAAAATGTGGCCCAGCAGTCACCTGCCTCAGAACCTGCTTTGGGGCTGGTAACAGGTGGATCCTCAGAGTACTGGGGATGAGACTCAATTGTACAGACCTCACAAGTGTTATTTTTGAGAAACAATAAACAAGATAAGCATTAAGATCCTCTCAAATGCTATGAGAAAATACATGGGCTATCTAAACCATGATTACTTGAAGACTAGGGCTTATGATAAATGGACATCTAAACTGGTTATTTCATTTAACTATAGATGAAGTGACTTTTTCCCCTTTCTCTGACCATCTTACCCAGTTGTTCTTCTTCCCAGCATAAATTTCCATGTTCTCTCCATACTGAGGCTCTTCCAGTAGCGTCTGGTACTCAAACATGAGACGTGAGCTTTCCCGGAGGCGGCTGCACTGAAACTGGTGATACTGCTGCACAAGCTCCTTCACCACAAGTAAGAGGCACTCGGGGTTTGCAGGGTTCCAGGAGGTGAGGTTCTGCAGAGCCATAAATAAGCACTGGTGAAAAGCAATGTTCTTACAAGTCCCCTGTCACATCCATACATCAATACAGAGGGAAAAGGTGATAAAGGTGTATCACAATTAGCCATAAACCCAGCGATGAAGTTAGGAGGGTCTTGTGATCTTAGTGATTCCTCCTGCCTTCTAAAAATCTATGTAGAAAAATCCAGATGAGTTTGGTCAGGAATAGGCAGAAACAGTGTACAGCAGAATAGTAGCAAAATGAGACATCTGAATAACCTAGCAGACATAATTTTAGCCCTGGAAGACTGAATTTTTTTCCTATTCTTTTCAATTTTAATTCTTTTCAACTGACACCTAAATCAAGCATTATATTCTAAAGCAATTTAACTACATACTTACAGAACATCTGCATCTGTAATACCAGGTGTAAATAAATGTTCAGTAAACATTACAGCCTCGTGGAAATACAAATACAATGTTAATGGTTTGATTTGAAAAAGATAGGAATGAAGTAGAAATAAGGAAAAATACAATTAAGAAATAGAGGATTTGGAGAGATGGAGAAGAGAAACAGCTGTGAAGTCTTATGACCAGGAAACCTGCTAGAAATGGGGGAAGATCACAACTATACATTGATGTCTATTAGGTACTAGCCACTATTCTAGGCAGTGAAGAAAATTAGCCAAGTCTTTGCTCTGAAGAACTTATATTTTAATGCAAAAAAAGGTCATTCAGAAAACGATAGTATGTATTCTAGAAGCCTAGTGAAGAGAGTTCTTCAAGGAAAAGAAGTGATGACCAGCATCAAATGGTGCTGATGAGTAGGAGAGGCTGAGGATTCCCTACTGGGTCTATGACATGTAGATCAGTAGTGTCCTCAACAAATGCTGTTTTGGTGGAGTAAAGCTGAACTATCAAGAGTTGAAGAAAATGCATGGAAAGAAACTCCACACAGCTAGCACAGTCAATTCTGACTGGGAACGAGAGAGAAACATGAGGTCAAGGGGAAGTTGCATATGGATGTTTGTAGCCTGATGAAATACTCCTGTAGAGAAAAGGGGAAGTGGTGATGCCAGAGAGGGAGGGAGCAGAACACTGAGACAGCAGGTAATAAGTAAGCAGGGATCCACGAGGCAGGTAACTCAAAGAGGGCTGGCCTTTGAAATGAGCCCAGAGAGTCTATACACAGGAAGCAGAAGAGAAGCCAATTAAATGAGCATGGCTGCAGGCATACTGTTCCATGTGGTGGTGGGAGCTTGTGGCAGTTCTCTTCTGAAAGTTACATTTTCTCCATGACATGAGAAAGAAGGTGGTTATCTGAGAAGGAGGAAGGAGGAGGGAATACTAGAAGTCTGAGATGAAAGTATGAAATAGTCATTTAGAAAAGTTATTTCAGAGAATAAATGAACTGGGGAAATGCAATAAGAATTCTAAATAAAAGTAAATGCTCCATTGAGGTCAAAAGTATGATTTTAAAGTGAGACAAATTAGCCCACATTCTACTCCCTGACTATATATACAGAGGAGGAATCTGGACAAAGGTTGGCTTTTCCCAGACAAATCCAACAGACAGAAAGAAGGAAAAGAGATCTTTGAGGTTTTGTAAAATTACTACAATTATGGGCAATGAGTATTAGGCCAGGAAAAAACCAAGTAAGTTCATAAGGAAAGTGAGAGTTAATGAAAAGGTAGTAGGACCAATGAACTATAGGTCGTGGCCAACTGGAAGAACTGTTGGGAGTTGAGGCGTGACAAAGAATGAATTGGAAAGACCTGAGGGTGTGTTCAGAAAATAGAATGTTTGCAACTAGAGACAATGAAGGTTTTATATAAATGGCACCAACAAGGTCTAATGTACTCCAAGGGTATGCATGGCTAAGAGAAAGTGCAGGACAAAATCACTGCAGAAGAGAAGGTCAAGGACTGAGAGGCCAGGGTGCTGGAAGAATGATTTAATTTACATGGATATTAAAATCACCCAGAATCATGACAAGAGTAATGCTGAGAAGATAACCAGGAGCCACATGCTAAAATCCTTAGGAGAAGGATTGAGGGGGTCTTTAAATAGCAAGGAGGGAGCAATGGGTCCTAGAGTCTACTGACAAAAGTTTCAAGATGAGGGTAGATGGTAAAAAGAAGGGGTATTTCTTAGTCATTTTCCCATCACTAGGATAAAACACCCAAAACTTAAAGGAGGAGAGGGTTTTTTGGCTCACAGTTTTAGAGAGTTCAGTCCTTGTTTGATGTCTCCAAGGCAGAAACAACATAGTAGAGGATACAGCAGAGGAGAGCTTCTCAACCTATGTCAGCCAGGAAGCAGAGAGAGAAAAGACAGAAGAGAGGAGAGGAGAACGGAAAAGAGAAGAGAGAAGAGAAAAGAGAGAAGAGAGAAGTCAGAAGAGAGGAGAGAGGAGAAGAGAAAAGCCAGAGAAAAGAACATATCCTCCCAGGTCACACCCCCAGTTAGCCACCTGGTTCAAACAGGCCCCACTTCCTAACAGCACATTCAGCTATGAACTCACCAATGAATTAATCCACTGATTACAGTGCCCCCACGATTCAATCATTTTCCAAAAGACCCACCCCTAAACACATAAAACTTTTGGGGGACATTTTAGATCTAAATCGTAACAGGGAGTGACAATTTCCTTGAAAACAGCACTGAAGGGCAAAGTGAACATGTACCCACCTCCAAACACAGAGTCATAAGGGGTGGGAGAAAAATCAGCTACCATTTATTTGAGAAGCAGAAAGGGAGGCAGAATCTCAGGGAAGACTTAAAATAGTAGTTTTCAACCTTCACAATGAAATCATCTGAAGAACTTAAACACTACTACTAATGCCTGGACCCTACCCACCCCAACTCCATATTCTGATTTAAATGGTTTAAACAGGAATGTATCCTGGGTATTGGGATTTTTTTTTTTTCTAAAAGCTCCTGCGTGGTTCTAATAGGGAGTAAGTGTTGAGAATCACTGACCTGGAGGCCAAAGAGAGGAAAAGATCATGGACTTGATAATAGGTCGTGTAAATATCTAAAAATATCCAATCTCTACAAGTGTAGAAATCTAGCATCTATAAAGGAACATGTCAATATATTACAAATATTTATCAAATAATCACATGGCTTGCCAACTGCTATATATCCTAAGAACTTTTTACATATTCAAGTTAATCATTATGGTAATTTTGTAAGTTAAATTATTATCCCATTTTACAGATGAAGAAACTAAGGCAACAGATAGTTCTAAACCTTGCCTAAGGTCACAGAGCCACTAAACAATAAAATTGGGTTTTGATCATAAGCAATTTGTTTCTAAGTCCCTGCTCTTAAGAACTACACTAGCTGGGGATTTAGCTCAGTGGTTTCACCGCCTGCTGCGCAAGCACAAGGATCCAAGTTCGATCCCCGGTACCAAAAAAAAGAACTACACCAGAGATTCTCAAACATTTTGGTTTTAGGAAACTTTACATGGTTAAAAAGTACTGAGAACCCCCAAAGAGCTTCTGTATATATGAGTTATATGGATTAATATTTACTATAATTAATATTTGCTGTATTAAAAATAAAAACTGAGAAAATTTTTCAAAATATTTAATTCATTTTCAAATAAACCCACAACATGTTAATACGAATAACATTTTTTGTGAAGTAACTACATTTTCAGAAAACAGTGAAAAGTATGGCATTGTTTTGCATTCTTACAAATCTCTTTAATGTCTGGCTTAATAATCTCTTATCTGTTTCTGCATTCAATCTGTTGCAATATGTTATTTTGGCTTAAGTATATGAAGAAAATCAGCCTTAGTCACACATGCAGCTTGCAAAGAGAAGTGCTTTAAATAGTCTTTTCAAATGATTCTGGATATTCTTTGATACTACAACAAAACTCAACAAGTGAAGCCAAGCACAGAGGTACACATCTGTAGGCCCAGCTAGCTTTTCCAAAGAGACCAAAGCAGGTGAATGAATCACTTGTGACTAGGAGTTCAGGGTCAGCCTAGGCAACAGATCATCTCTTAAAAATAAAAAATATGGGCTGGGGATTTAGCTCAGTGGTTCCACCACCTGCCTCCCAAGCACAAGGTCCCGAGTTCAATGCCTGATACCAAAAAACAAATAAATAAAAATTTAAAAAATGAAAATAAATAAAAACTATAAGAACTCAACAAGTGGTAGCTTCTTAAAGGATAGTTGGAATGTGGGACGGAATCCTTATTAATAAATATTTCATATTCTTACATTAAATTCCATTTATCTTATTCTTCGGGTGGATCATACTTATGTACATTATGCATTGATCATTTAGAAAATATTGATTTAAGGCGTTATCCCAATACTGAAAAATTTCATTCATTTAATAATTAAAAATCATATTCATTAATATCACTAATCTCATCAGAAAATCTTTAAATAATTGAAGACATCAACCTCAGGGCAGTAAACATGTTTTCCAAAATGCCCATTGTCACTTGAAAGCTAGAATCTTATCAGTGGCAACAAATACTGTCAGTTGTTTTCCCTGAAGTGATAAACACACCTTGTATGTTTCTGAGAAAATGTCTGCCAAATAACCAGTTCCTAATGGTCGCAAATCATCCTTCAATCATTCTTTCAAGGAAAAGGATGGGCCCAAGAACAAAGCAGCTAGTCCAACAACCACACTAATTTCCTCAAGACAACGCCATCCTTTAGTATGTTGCAGTCTCCCATGCATATTTCTAATTTTGTCACATGGAATATTAAATAAAGTGCATTCAAGGATTGGGACTTCATAAAATTTATACTTTTTATAACTTCATCAATGACATTCTTAAGTGAACTGGCATTTTTTTACTGGGAATGTGTGGCAGCAGAGAATACCATGGCTACTTATACAGTTTGATGACACTGCCCTGATTGGTGCTAAGGCACCAGCTGTATCCACCACTGCTTCTGGAGTATAAGTGCAAAAATCGGCATAGTTTTTTTTAAAGCAAATGTGATTCCAAAACTACTTTTGACACTGCAG